CACCCACAAAGGAGATAATTTTTTTATATGAAAAAAATAGCTACCACAAATATGATAAAAACATTCATAATAGTGATAAAAACGTCCACAATGGTTATAAATTACCCATAAAAATAATAATTTTTTTGATTATAAAATGACCTAAAAAAATTATAAAAAAACTCTTTAAGATAATAAATTTTGTAGATGCCGTATCGATTGTTTTTTCAATGTTGTAGTCAAATCCATGACTAATTAACAGATCGACGTTTTGTCCTGTATCATTAATTGTAGGTCATCTATATGCTTGATTGATCATTGACATGTTTAGAACAATTAGGTGGACGATGGATCAAGGTGATGAATTCCTTTCTTTGTGTGTTTGGTGGACAGTTTTTTCGCCGGTTATAAAGTTGAATACACGAAACCTTCTCATCTTTGGTTCATGGGTTTTGGTGGGATTTATAAGATGGATTTTGTCAAAAAATAGTTCAATGTATGATCCTATTTTTTATTTGATTATAGATTTCAAACTCGAGATTTGAATCTTGACTCATAATAAGTCCACAAGTAAAACTCATGTATAAGAATTTCAACAAATCCATGAGGTTCCGTAACAAATATTTGATGATATTTGTGATTAATCTGTAAGTCTCATATGTATTTATGTCACATGCCAAACGTGAGATTAAAAATTGTATATTATTCATCCCATAAACAAAACTTAAGAGTTGAGTTTTAAAGAATTTCATAAATTCAATGCAATCTCAATCTTAAAAATCATCGAATCAGCCCAAATGTCATGCTCACAGTTTTAGGACTCAATTCGGCACGGGTATGCGGTTGTTTGTCAACTTAATTTTTTTTTTGTTTTACCAAGAAATAAAGAGTCTGCTTGAATTGTGTCTCCAAAACAGTTTTCTATTCTCAAAATTTTAAAAACAACGAAGATGTTGCATGATTAGCTTTTTTGTTCTCCAATTTTTTGAAAATTTTGGGAATTGAAGTGTGATTTTAAAAAACAACATAATGGTGTTTTTGGTGTTTTCTAAGTTAAAATGAAAACACAAAAAATAGGATGCATCTCCGAATTAATGAGGTCTCCACTTCGAGATTTGTCGGAGACAACAAATGGTCACTGTGAACTTCTTCTTCTCCACACACACAATTAGATATACACTGAAATGGGGCTATGTAGAGCTTCTTTCACAAGCAGAGATACACTAGGTGCAAGTAGTTTTGTCTGACCATTTATGCTCTCTCTTTTTGCATGTCGTGGGTTATAATTTCAATTGGCATTTTGTTAATGAATTTATACTTTTTTTGGTTTTTTTTATGTTCTCCCAATTTTGTACTTTAACGGCATGTTTGACCTATGAAATCTGCATCTTCATTTGGGTATTTTCTGAATTTGACATGAATCTAAAATGTTGCCAGGTTTATATGTTGTGCTTACAATGTTTACCGGCTATTTGGTTGGATATGCTGCATTCAGAGCATTGTTTGGCCACGGTCCTATTATGGTGACCTCCGGAGTGGCTGTTATAATTCTTTATCACTTTTCCCCTGCTGAGAACCACACCCTGAGCCCACCCCACAAAAAATAAGAATTCCCACACACAAAACTCTCTCCTCCTACAAAACTAACTCTTTTGGTTCATCTGCTAGTACCGTAATTAGTGTCTGTTTACAAAATTTCAGAGTACTGCTGGGGGAATCCTTGGGTTAGTTTGTGGCATGCTTGTAGAAATGCTTCTTTTTATTGTTAGAACTTCCAGTCAAGATTTGGGACCCAAGTCTTCTGCTTCCAAGCTAAAGAAGGATCAATAAACTTAAGTCTTGAGATGTTGGTCCTATTCTTTTTGACTTGTATCGTTCTATAACCCATTCATGCTCTTGTTCATGTGATTTCATTTAAATTTAGTGCCAATTGCATTTTGGCTCTTTATTTAGAAGTTGAGTTAACTTTCTNGATGTTGGTCCTATTCTTTTTGACTTGTATCGTTCTATAACCCATTCATGCTCTTGTTCATGTGATTTCATTTAAATTTAGTGCCAATTGCATTTTGGCTCTTTATTTAGAAGTTGAGTTAACTTTCTTTTTTGCCAAGTTCATTTACCATGTACATTACAAAAAGGAAAAAAGTTTACGTGGCAGGACTCTAAATGCCTCTACAGCCCCTAGATTGACACGTGGAATAATAAAGTCGTTGGGATATCCAAAGGGTGCCGAGGAGGTAAGCTAAGGTATGGTGACACGGAGCAGCCGAGTACGACAGCTGACATTGTATTTAATGCGATACGACCCCTCATTTATGGCGAAATGAGTGATAGTGATAAGACAAATAAATGTGTGCCTATCAGCACCTGCCCTCTGGAAGTCTAAGTCTATTGTCATGATGGCTAAGCATTAATGGTTGATGCGTCGAGACGACGCGATCGGCTCTTCCGAGGAACTGTTTCCCCCGAGTATTCAATGCTCAGTTAATGTTGGATGTCGATCTGGGGGATTTGGGTATTCGGGGAGTGGCATAAATGCTCGGCATTTGGCCGAGCATTTATCCCATTTTCCTAGCATTCAATGGGAGGAGACGTGAGTAGAAAACACTCATTGCACGAGGAATGGTGTGTCAGATGTAAGATGTCCAGATGGGACTGGAGATCTTTGGCAATCATTACTAATTTAGGTATAAATACTCCTCAGAAAAATAGACNGTGTCAGATGTAAGATGTCCAGATGGGACTGGAGATCTTTGGCAATCATTGCTAATTTAGGTATAAATACTCCTCAGAAAAATAGACATAGGTACCCAAACTTGAACCAGAAAAATAGTCTATTGAGCAAAACCCTTCGACCTTATACTGACTTAAGCTTCGGAGGGGATTAGCTGGATGCTCGCCTGGCCCCCTTTTTTCTAACCCTATTGTTTCAGGTTCGTCAGCTTGGAGATCTTTGTCTCATACTATTGCAGGAATTATCCCGTGCAATTTGGCTCCATCTGTGGGAACGAAGGCATTTTTCTCGGTAGCGATCGTCTGATGGTGAACACTCGATCTCAAGGTGAGGGAGTAAGTGTACGGGCTAGGAACGCAGAGCCCGTCCGACTTTNTCTGATGGTGAACACTCGATCTCAAGGTGAGGGAGTAAGTGTACGGGCTAGGAACGCGGAGCCCGTCCGACTTTCAATGGTTCTGGAGTCGGGTTCATTGGGCCAATCAGATGGGGTGGGGCATTCTTCGCAAAGTACGCTCCCTATGGATTAGGGTCTTAGGGGGAATGACCTCATGGCCCATGACATCGTTGAGATGGTGGAAAAGCGGATGGGCAAACACATTAAGTAGCTTGAAAGGGAAAATGCCAAAGTCCAACAACGTCTTGACGATTTCAAGCAGTCAGTGAATGCGGGTGAGCATAGTCGCGGGTTCGGGGATTAGGCACTCGCCCGAGGGACGTAACCGCCAAGGAGGGTTCTCGGTCTCTAAGGGGAAGTCAGAATTGGGCCAGAAGGCAAGCCTGTCTAGGTGGGACTTGCGCCGAGGGATACCCGAGGGCATCAGAGTCGCCGAATCACAAGCGGAGTCCATACCCCAAAGGCCTCAAGGAGAAAGATCAAAAAAAGATCCCAACGTCCCTTTCATTGCTCAGCGCAACCATGAGCCCGAGGTCTACTCTAACGAAGTTATCTCACCGTTCGTCCAGGATATCAGGGAGGCCGAGATGCCGAAGAAGTTTATTATCCCACGGTTCAAAATCTATGATGGAAAAATCGATCCCGAGAGCCACCTTCGGCAATACAGACAATTGATGTCAATCTATGATACTGACCAAAGGGTGTTGTGCCGAGTTTTTTCCATGAGCCTAGGGGACATGGGCATGAGGTGGTATGAGAACCTTGCTCTTGAGAGCATTAGGTCCTAGAAACAATTGACAGAGCTCTTCATAGCTCGATTCATCACTAGAAGTAAGAAACCGAAGGACATCGGTGCTCTGTTGACACTTAGGCGGAAAGGGGGAGAGGCACTTCGACAATATGTCATCTGGTATTGGGATGAAGTGAACGAGGTGGAGGCATGTTCGGAGGCATTGGCCGTGGCGTCATTTAGGCTAGGGCTGTCCCAGGACACTGATTTGTACAAATCGCTAACTAAGAAGGCTCCAACAAACATGAAAGACTTGATGACTCGGATTAACAATTATGCTCGGGTGGAGGAAGAATCCGTCGCACCCGAAAANTCGACAATATGTCATCTGGTATTGGGATGAAGTGAACGAGGTGGAGGCATGTTCGGAGGCATTGGCCGCGGCGTCATTTAGGCTAGGGCTGTCCCAGGACACTGATTTGTACAAATCGCTAACTAAGAAGGCTCCAACAAACATGAAAGACTTGATGACTCGGATTAACAAATATGCTCGGGTGGAGGAAGAATCCGTCGCGCCCGAAAGCAGGGTCACGGTGCCGAGAAAAAGGGATAGGGAGGGCCTATTCCACCCCCAACTCGCCTATCCTTCTAGGGAGTGAACACGGCCTTCAACGAGCCCATTCACAGGATACTTCCCAAAATCAAAAACAAACCTTACTTCAAGTGGCCCTCAAGGATGTTTGGAGACCCGTCGACAAGGAATGCGGCCTTCTGTTGTTCGTATCATAGAAATATCGGCCATTTGACGGAGGATTGCAAGGTTTATAAATCCTTCCTCGAACAATTAGTGCGAGACGAACACCTCGGGTAATTCATCTACAAGGGTCGTCCCGGTGGGTTGCCGAGGGAGCGAGTCGAGGTGCCAACTGAGGTAGCNCGTATCATAGAAATATCGGCCATTTGACGGAGGATTGCAAGGTTTATAAATCCTTCCTCGAACAATTAGTGCGAGACGAACACCTCGGGTAATTCATCGACAGGGGTCGTCCCGGTGGGTTGGCGAGGGAGCGAGTCGAGGTGCCAACTGAGGTAGCAACCATGATTGATGTTATTCATGCCTGCACAGTGGAGAGGCCTACATACAACTCCCTCTGCGCCGAGTTATAAAGGGTCTTTCAAGCAATTAGGGTGGACGAAAAGGGTAATGAGCGGCCGCCCAAGAAGCCGCGGAGCGGTGCCGAGGTTATCCAATTTTTTGATGCTAATCTCGGTGGGGTAGTCCTCCCTTACGAGGATGCATTGGGGATCACTTTGCGGGTCGGGAAGTTCGACGTCAAGAGGATCTTGGTGGACTCGGGCAGTTCTTCCGAGGTAATGTACGATCACCTCTTCCGCAAGATGAGACTCTCTTAGGGGGATCTGGAACCCGTAAAAACCCTCCTCATCTGTTTCAATGGTTCCAACGCCTTGCCCCTTGAAAAAATCACCCTCATGGTACAGGGTGGGGGTGGTGACCACACTAGTAGAATTTGTGGTAGTGGACTCCGACTCCCCTTACAACGCTATTATGGGGAGATCGTGGTTGTATGCAATAAAGACGATCCACTCATCTTATCACTAGAAGATAAAGTTTCCAACACCATAGGGCATAATGAAAATCCGGGGTGATCAAGCGTCGACGATAAGCTGTTTCTATGTCGCGGTGAAAACGGGAGTCAGCGGCTGGAGTCAGGAGCGTGATCCCGATGCGGTGGTTACCAAATAGCAATCACAGAGCGGTCATCCGANCGACGATAAGCTGTTTCTATGTCGCGGTGAAAACGGGAGTCAGCGACTGGAGTCAGGAGCGTGATCCCGATGCGGTGGTTACCAAATAGCAATCACAAAGTGGTCATCCGGGAGTGGACGAGCCCATTATAGAGCCGGCCGACCGGTCTACTGAGGCCTTAGTGAAGATTCTCTTGAGCCCGGATAGCGGTGAGAAGTACTTTTTAACAGGGGAGTCACTCAGTGATGCAAAGAGAAATGATATGGCCTCATTTTTATGCCACAATGCCGATGTCTTTGTGTGGACCCAGGCCGAGATTACGGGAATAAGTGCTGAGGTGATGACTCATCGACTCTATGTGAATCCCTCATTCAAACCCGTTAGGCAAAAGGCCCAGAGAACGACGCCTCATCACGCGAGGTTGTGGATGAAAAGGTGGATAAGTTGTTGGGGGCAGGTTCCATCAAGGAGGTNTGATCAAGCGTCGACGATAAGCTGTTTCTATGTCGCGGTGAAAACGGGAGTCAGCGACTGGAGTCAGGAGCGTGATCCCGATGCGGTGGTTACCAAATAGCAATCACAAAGTGGTCATCCGGNCATAATGAAAATCCGGGGTGATCAAGCGTCGACGATAAGCTGTTTCTATGTCGCGGTGAAAACGGGAGTCAGCGACTGGAGTCAGGAGCGTGATCCCGATGCGGTGGTTACCAAATAGCAATCACAAAGTGGTCATCCGGGAGTGGACGAGCCCATTATAGAGCCGGCCGACCGGTCTACTGAGGCCTTAGTGAAGATTCTCTTGAGCCCGGATAGCGGTGAGAAGTACTTTTTAACAGGGGAGTCACTCAGTGATGCAAAGAGAAATGATATGGCCTCATTTTTATGCCACAATGCCGATGTCTTTGTGTGGACCCAGGCCGAGATTACGGGAATAAGTGCTGAGGTGATGACTCATCGACTCTATGTGAATCCCTCATTCAAACCCGTTAGGCAAAAGACCCAGAGAACGACGCCTCATCACGCGAAGGTTGTGGATGAAAAGGTGGATAAGTTGTTGGGGGCAGGTTCCATCAAGGAGGTACAGTTCCCCTAGTGGCTATCTAATACCATGTGCGCCAAGAAGAAAGGAGGGAAATGACGAGTTTGCGTGGATTTCATGAACCTGAACAAGGCTTGCCCCAAGGACGAGTACCCCTCACCC